TATAAATGCACTCCCTGTATAAATGCACACTTTTGTTTAGTCCCGAGGGGGATGCATTTATAGAGAGTTGACTGTATGTTATAGATGATATAGAAGACGTATAAGACATATATGATTTCTTAAGAATTGACATTATCCTTTTGATTATCATTATCTATATCTTCTTTTGTGTAATATCACTCCTCTTCAAGATTTTGAGTCCTCACAAAATCATTTATCTCTTCATTAATAATTAATTTTTCATTATTTTTAAAATTCAAATTCTATGATCTATTAATCTATAATATTTTCTGATATTAATAATCTTTTTCAAAATTATAGTAAGAAAAGAAATTTTATATTTAAAGATCAAATTAGATTTTAAAATTTTTTTTTTTACATTTCAAAAAAATTTCTGCAGAATGTATGCCATATTCACACATGACTTATCAGAGGGGAATATGTCATATTTATACTATTTGCAATCAACCTTACAAATATAGGTTTTTTCAATCTTATATAGGGCTAAAATTTGTTGATTTTCAGAATTGTGAGATTTATAATTCTATATAAATACTTTAGTTTTAAATAACTTTCTAATTAAGATCACGTGATAAACTATTTCTCTTAAATATAACCTTTTGTATATTGATCTAATTATTCAAAATTTAATTGCCGATCCACGAGTTAGTAATAGTTATTTCATTATTAGAAATTGGCGCAGATCATTATAATACAAGCCTAAAATGCCAATTTTGTATTCAAAATAATACCGTTTCACTATATGCCATGTGTGCAAAATAAATTACCAAATAAATGCCAATCACAACCTTTTTATATTAGTAACTTCAACGAAACTTACCTATGAGAAAAAGTGCCATTTACCAAATTCAACATAAGATTCAAAAAAATAAAAATGTTTTTTTTCGATACATTTCATTTATAAAGTTCACTTAAATCCAATTTATTTATTATTATGACGATTCAAACTTTATTTATTTATTTACTACGATATTTCAAAATAATTACAACTATAAAAAGTACCAAATGCTATTATTATTAGTACTTATTATGCATTTACAGTAGAACTCTCTGCCAAAGAACCTTTAGATAGGTTGGTTTGTAATGCAGCTTTTGTTGAACTTTCTTTGAATTTTTGAGTGAATCTTGATATCCATAATTGAATAGTATTTACCTTTGGAATTTCTTCTTCTTCAAGTTCTCCATTATTTGAAAATTCCTTTAGTCGTTCATACATATCCTTAGTATTCATACAATCTTTTGGATTCAAGTTTCCAAACAAAAACATTCTTTCAAGCATTTTCTTGACTTTATTACTCATTTGTTTACCTCCACCTCATTTTCCAAAAATTTGATTTTCTTGCAATGCCTATCCTTTTCTTAATGGATATTCAAAATCTACTTCACAAGTAACTAATATATCAATAGTATTAACTCAGGTCAGAAAAATTGATGACATTCAAAAAAAAAAAAATCAATATTTACCTTCTATTTGCTGATTATTTGGAATTTGATTTTCTAATTGTAATTTTATTATATTCAAATAAAAAAATTTTATTATTATAATATAATTTTAAATCAAAACAAATTATAAATTTACCTTCCATTTCAATATCTTCATTTTGTAAAGTTTTATCTTGAAACTTAGTTACAGGTATCGGCATTAACCATTTGGTATCTGATTGAGTATATTTAGAAAAAGTAGATGATGGACGCAACATTTCAGTATTAGATAAATTTGCTATTAAAGCAGGAGAATATTGAGCAGTTTGGCCAAAAGATGGTAATGTATGTGCAAGAATATATCCAGATAATGGATCTGTTATTGGCCATTGCCAATAAAAATATTTTGATATTCCTTCTAAAGTTTTGATACGTGATTTTTTTTGTTTACTAATTGCTGATGATAAATCTAATTCATTTTCTTTTTTTTTTCTATTAGATTCTATATTTCCAATATAGGTTCCAGCCAAATCTTTTGCTGCTGCCACAATATGAAATCCATCTGTCAAATCATATCCAATTCTTATATATCTCTTTATAGCATGAGCTATCTAAAATAATAAAAAATTAGGTAAGTCAATGTTAATTATAGATAATTTATATGTAATACTTACAGAAGCATGATGTGAATCAATTGTTGTTTTTGCTTCTCCAGGTTCAAGAAATAACCAACTTCGTACTTCTATATTATACCAATCATACCAATGTAATACGATTGCCATTAATTCACTGTTATGATAATGTGGTCCATTATCAGAAATTATTTGAATCCATTTAGGCTTTTTTTCAATGGTTGTAAATACAACTTCAAAACAAGATGCTGTAAACCATGCATCTTGTTTTGTATCCATAGACCAATGATCATACGCTCTAATATTCAACTCATTTCTATTTTCTTTTAGAGTAAAAAGAAGAATTGTATGTAAAGTCCAACCACGTTTGCCAAAAAATTCCTGTTTGGTTTCTCTTGCACTTTGTGGTAAAATCTGCATTTTATAATCTGCAATCATAATAGTACCATCATGATCAAGATTTCGTAAAGTGGCTTTGAATTGATTATTTAGGTATACTTTTCGTGTATGATGTGCTAGAAAGTATTTCAATTTTTCTTGCATTTCATTAATCTCTTCTAATCGATCTTTGTCAACCTTTTTTCTTAGATAATCAAAAAACACAAAAAATTCAATACAATTTTCACAGCGTAAATTATGACTTTCTTTACATTCACTAAAAGCATATAACAAGTAATAATTAATACAAGGATTATGTTTAGTTTCTCTATTTTCTTCAATTACTAATTCTCGTTCAAAACCTCTTTTAAGATGTTTTCGTAAAGATTCAATTCTAGTGATCATAGAATCCTAATTATATAAAAATTAGTTTAGAATTTGAATTTGAATTTATTAGTAATCAAACTAATATACCAATAATTCCTTTTGTAAAAAGATTTGTTTTACTAATGTTAATAGATCTTCAAATACATCATAACCATAATCATTATAAGTAATACAAAGTCCTCCTAGATCACTACGATATCTAATGTAAGTGCAATTAGCAAGTCGAGTCATAAAAGCTGTTTTTCGCATTCCATTTGGATAAGTTTCTTCAAACTTTGACCATAATGCTGATTTTTGATCTTTCATA